ATAATTTGACATCTGGGAAACAACCAAAAGGAGGCATAGCAGAGGAGGGCTGTTTCTCATAGCACATAATTTGTGCTATCTCAGGCATATTTTCACGATGAAAATAAAGTTTAAGTCCAACTTTGTTCTAAACAATGCAATGGCGCAAAAGGAAATTGTCTTCCACTATGGACAGTGACTTAGTATATGAAAGAGAACTGTGACATAGTGGATTCCATGTTGGGTTGCTAACCACAGGGTGAGCGATTCGAATCCACCAGCTGCTCCATGGAAGAAAGATGGGCACAGTTTGCTCTGATAATGATTTACAACCTCGGAGACCCTGTGGAACAGTTCTGCTCTGCCCTATTGGGTCCTCTGCTTTGGAATCCATTCAACAGCAGTGGGGTTGGGGTTTTTATTCTGCCAGCAAGCAGGAGGGATCCACAGTAGACTCTTAGTCACCGAACCGTTGTGGTCCTTATTGGTCCTTAGTCACGGAACACTGGGGTCCTCTTTCCTCAGCTGGTCCTGAATAACCCTCCTCAGGTTCAGTTGAACTCAAAAAAAGAACATCATAACTTTAAACTATGAGTCTGATACCTGCTAAACACGGTTGTAGCACTGGCTGAGGGTTTAGGAGTTGGTCGACACGAACTGACATCATTTGGGCTTTGTAGTATGGCAGCAGCTTGGAGGACCTGAAGCATCCTGGGAAACTCCATTCCATATTGGGCACTGTGAGACAACAACCCTGTCCTCCTGGGATCAGAGAGCTCCCTTTTCCCAAAGCAGGTCCTCTGCTTTTACAGATACTTTTTGTGTCTCCGTTAACTAACTATCCCCCATCCTTTCCCTTCCCTCCCCACAAAACACACAAAAAAGTAAGAAACCTCACACCAGTTGCAGTTGTGTCGACTGCACTTATGGAGACCTCGTGTGCGCCAGGAGGCTTGCGGCGGAGTGTGCATGAGCAGGCACCAGGCCTTTCTTCTGAGGAGCTACTTCTGGGCCTGGCTTAGCAGCAGCTGTGTGTTTTGGTGGCGGCACCACCCAGGGACTAGACGCTGGATCCCCTTAGTTCAGCAGATCCTTACATGTAATTCTCAGAACTCTTGTTTCTTTCTCTTTCTCATCTCCTCATCTTGTCTGGTTGGTCAAGGGCTCCACTTCTGATGAGCTCTCCCGCTGTCTTCTGTGACCAGTTCCTGGGTTGCATGCAGCACAGTGTGTGGTTGTTTTCTGAGGGCTTTTTTTCCTTGGGGCATCCTTGTTTTTGAGTCTGTACCCTCGAGCCAAAGGGCAGATTACAATATCATTCTCCTTGAAGGCCTCACTGGGTTTCAAAGAGAGACATTGCTATTTTCCCTCCTCAGAGAGGAGGACCTTGAAAGACTCTGCTCGGCCCCTCCCCCTGGAAGCCAAGGGTCTGAATTTTCAAGCCGTATCTTAAACATGTCTCTGTGTGGACCCCAACCTTTAACATTTGGATTAACAACTGAGTGTGTTAACCATTTGAAATACCAAACACACAAAAGACCCTCATGGTCATTGAGCCATAAAACTGGCTCCAAGTGACTATGTAGAACAGGGTAGAACTGCCCCTGTGGATTTCCAAGGCTGTAAATCTTTTTTCCTTCTTTCTTTCTCTCTTTTTTTAATATAAATCATTTTATTGGGAGCACGTACAACACTTATCACAACCCATCCATCCATCCATTGTGTCAAGCACATGTGTACAGTTGTTGCCATCATCATTCTGAAAACATTTTCTTTCCGCTTTAGCCCTTGGTATGGGCTCCTCATTTTTCCCCCTCCCTCCTCCACCCTCACTCCCTCACAAATCCTTGATAATTTATAAATTATTATTTTTCCATGTCTTATACTGTCCAATGTCTCCCTTCACACACTTTTCGGTTGTCCATTACCCTGGGAGGGGGTTATATGTAGATCATTGTGATCGGTTCCCTCTTTCTCCCCCACTTCCCATTACCCTCCTGGTATCTCTACTCTCATTATTGGTCCTGAGGGATTTATCTGTCCTGGATTCCCTGTGTTTCTAGCTCTGATTTGTATCAGTGTACATCCTCTGGTCTAGCTGGATTTGTAAGGTAGAATTGGGATCATGATAGTGGAGCAGGAGGAAGCATTAAAGAACTAGAGGAAAGTTGTATGTTTTATCGGTGCTATACTGCACCCTGACTGGCTCGTCTCCTCCCTGTGACCCTTCTGTAAGGGGATGTCCATTTGGGACTCCACTCTGCACTCTCCTCATTCACAATAATAGATTTTTTGTTATTTGATGCCTGACACCTGATCTTATCAATACCTGGTGACCACACAGGCTGGTGTGCTTCTTCTATGTGGGCTTTGTTGCTTCTCAGCTAGATAGCCGCATGTTTATCTTCAAGCCGCTGTATCTTTTGATAGGCTGTAAATCTTTATGGAGCAGAAAACCTCATCTCTCTCCCATGGGACATCTGGTGGGTTCAAACTGCTTGTCTTGATAGTTAGCAGCTCAGTGTGTAGCCCACTATGCCACCAGTGCTCCTGTGCACTACCCAGGGCATCCTAAAGAAAGGGTAGATGTTAATTAATTCCTAGAATGCATCAGTGGCTTGACATCTTGGTGTTACTTTCAGCAGATCCAAATTTAAATAAAAAAGTATTTGCTTTGCTTTTATGAGTTTCTCTTAAGCAGCTTATTTGAAGTACTGTAGAGTCAGGCACCACCCAGCCTTAGAAGGTCAGCCTCCACTCTCTTAGCTCCATCTTGCTAACCCTTAATGAAGTCACTACTTTCTCTTGCTGCCTTGAAAATAGGTAACACATGTGTTCTAATGGCTCTTTCCCAGGAACTGACATGTACAGTTTAATACACCCTGTGTGCTCTGCCTTTACTAGCACCCCAAATTTTCCTGAATGCTTTATCACTGGTATGTGAGCAAAGCCCTGTTTCCTTGGAATGCTGAGGCATGGACAACAATCAGATACTATGGGTCACCACCAACTACATGTAGAAACTAAGTACCAGCAGAGGCTCCGGGTTCAGTGGAGCTTCAGTGTGTTCATCATGGGTTATGCAAACATGGTCCAACAATAATGATGGCGTTTGCAAGGAAAATAGAAACCAATTTCTGCTTTCAGAGTACACAACCTTTCAGAGAGAGAGAGAAATTGCAAACAAAGCCATGTGCAATGCCATTTTAGTACTTCAGGTGTTGGAAATGTGCACAGGGTGGGCCTTGACTCACTGTGCAACACAGTGAAAGAGCCCATTCAAACCTTAGCCCCTTGGCTGCCCACTCAGACCTCTATGCACTTCAGGCCTCCCTGCCCCTTCAGGCCACTTTCATTTTCCTATTTAAAGCAATGAAGGGACGGTGAAAAGGAGGGGGAGGGTAATAGAGGTGAGGAAAAGAAGGGGGGAGGGAAAGAGAGAGATGAGGGGAAAGAAAGAAGACCACAACGGAGACAATGACAGTGGTGTGTCCTGGGAGTATACAACTTAAAATTCTTCTCTTTCCCATGTATATGTAAACTAGAGAGCAAGGGATTCAGAGTTAGGACCACAAGCTACTGTGTGGATGAGCTCTAACGTAGACAGACTTGTGGAAATTTCAGACTTCTTTATCATTTGAACTGAAGGCTCAAAGAACCCTGTAACTGAGGACAAGGCCTAGAGCCCAGGTAGGCTCAGCAAAGGGGGCCTTCAAAAAGTTCATAGAAAATTTAAATTAAAAGATAACAAAAATTTTCCACAAACTTTTTCGAGCTCCTTGATAACACAGCTCCTATATCCTCTGGATATTAGGGGTCTCTGGGCTATTTGAGAGGGAGCCTGGTGGCAGGATGAGTCATGTAGGGACCGCTCACTGGTGCTTCAGAACCCTGGCCACTCTTCAGAAGAAAGGTGAGATGGTCTGCTTCCATGAAGGTTTATGGTGTCTGAAATCCTGTCAGGCAGCTCTAGTCTCTCCTATGGGTTTGCTGTGAGTGGGAATCGACTAGACAGCAGTGGGCTTGTTCTGGTTTTAGGTTGGAGGTATTAGAAGATCCTTTGACAGTGCATATGGATCGTGCTTGACAGCCCAGCTCCAGGTTGACAGCCTGAACCCACTCAGGAGTGCAGCAGAGGAAAGACCTGGAGATCTATGTCTACAGTGATTAAAGACAAGAAAATCTATAGCTCCGTTTTTTTCTGAAACACCTGGGTCGCTTTGAGTCCTAATTGATTTAACTACAATGAGTTTGGGTTTGTTCATTTGTTTTTGGTTTAAAGTAGATCATTCTCACTTGGTCCCTAGGTTTCTGAAGCTGCAATGAGCAAGTGTGAGAAAGGGGACTGACATGAGAAAAGTTTGGGGATCACATGGATCACATGATTTAATATTAGGGCCAACTTCATGGTCCGTTCTTTTTTAACCAGTTTTAGCTTGCCTTTTCCTTACTTGAGCAATGTCTTGGAAGCACACTGATACAGGTTTTGCTATTACAACTCAAGCGTAATCACTTAATCACCCCTTATTGAGCCAAGTCAGAGCCTAGTATTGTGCGCAGCACCGGGTACATAAAAGTGATTGGGACAAGGCTTCTGTCACTTCCAGTTGGTGTGGGGGAAAGACAACAACACCATGAGGGAAAGAGGGGGGCCTGAGGGATCCCTGGAAGAGGGCAAGCACTGTGTTCACACTGTCGCTGTGAGGATGGGTCAAGGGAACAAGGCTAAGTTAAGAATAATCGATTAGTAACGTCCTGGGATTCTGGAAGTCGATGATTATCATCGTCTTCACTATTCCCGCCACCATCATTATCATCATGGTCAGCATCTCCCGCATCAGTTGTACTTGAGCACAGCCCTTTCTGAGCACTTGGAGAAGAACAATCCTTGGAAAGCGACTTTGATAGCTGAGAAAGGATACCCGTCCTCTGATAAAAACTGTGGCTCGTTTCAGGCTTGTTGTTGGATGTTGAGCTTTGATTTATTTATTGCGTTCGCCCTCTCGTTTGTGCTTGTGCAGGTTGAGCCGGTGATACAGAGAGGCCATGAGAGTCTGGTTCATCACATCCTGCTCTACCAGTGCAGCAGCAACTTTAACGACAGTGTCCTGGACCATGGCCATGAGTGCTACCACCCCAACATGCCTGATGCCTTCCTCACCTGCGAGACCGTTATCTTTGCCTGGGCCATTGGTGGAGAGGTGAGGCTGACGTTAGCTGTGAGACAGTACAATTAATTGTCCACACATGCACCCCTAAAATAAGGTTCTACTATACGTAGTCCCTGGCTCTGGCTGGGTTCCATTACAATGACTCCATCCTAAGTTGATTCTGATAAAATGGGTTGAATTTTTTTTTTTTTTAGTTTTCATAATTATTTCCATTGACTATCAACATCATTTAAAATCAGATCTGTATTTGTCTTTGGGGACTGAAAACACTATCTATAGACTTACAGATATATTTTAATTCATATATACAGATATTAAGAAGTACACACGTTATAAAAAATTTACTCTAGAATGAAGAAATGGTAGCTGACATGGGCCTCTGTCAGCTGTGGTAACAACTCGCTTGTGGCTGGTTCTAGATTGCCTGGGTTGTCCTGGGGAACTGGGGAGGCCTTTCTCGTGAGAAAGTTAGTGAGCGTTATCTCCAGGTGCCTTTTCTTTTTTCATTCCTTTCACATCCCACTCTTTCCTGAATCGACCAGTTAACTTTGGTCAAGCAATCATCATTTGGGTCCATGTTTGCCAGCAACTCTAGCCCCTGGCTTATTTTAGAGAAATTCCTTTCCACTGTAAAAAATCAAAAACAACAACAAAAAAACTGACAACCTCTCTCCTTCCCTTTCTTATCATTTCTTTCTTCTTCAGCTTTTCTTTCCTCTTCAAAATCCATTAGTCTTGCTCTGTCGGTTCCCCTTCTTTGAGATCTATGAGTTGTTCAATGTTATTGATATCCAGTTCAGGATTCCATTTTCTTGTCTATGGGTGCCTTTTGCACGGATCTCTTACATCATATCGTCCCAACTCCATGCATGTAGTGTGTTCACATAATTCAGCAATTTTTCCTCGGTTCCTAGCATGCATTCCCTGTAACTTCTTCCCACGAGTAGACAGTATTCCAGATACACTGATGGTCCTTAAGTGGGGTTCATTTTAATTTGAATATGTGGCAAGTCAGGGACAACTTGTAATTATAAGTAAAGTATTTTTTTTCATATAGAAGTGGCTTATAACCAATTTTTTGGGAGGTGACTTTTTCTTTAAGTTATTTTATTTTATTATAGATAAGTGGGAGTTCGAGAGTATTGACGTATCTTTGAGACTAGCTGGGCTTTGGGTGGAATAGAGCTCTTTAGAGCCGTTATGTAACACTGATGCCTGCAATTCTCCACATGTAGGGATTTTCCTACCCACCTCACGCTGGCTTATCCCTTGGTACTCCATTAGATCCTCGTTATGTGCTCCTGGAGGTCCATTATGACAACCCAACATATAAAGAAGGTGAGTCTGTTTTTCATCTACTGTTGCTTTCTAAAAACTGTTCTGTACACTCATGTCAGCAGAAGCCAGCAAAGATGCAGCATATATATGCTAGCTTGTCAGCTGCCAGGGGTTGGTTCCAACTCAAGACAGCCCCACGTACAGAGACCAAAACCTTGTCTAGTCCTCAAAACAAAACAGAAACAAGAACAGACTTACTGCCACCAAGTCAATTCCGATTCATCGCAACCCTATACAACAGGCAGAACATCCCCTGTGGGTTTCTGAGACTGTAAATCTCCATGAGCATAGAAAACCTTATCTTTCTCCGGTGGAGTAAGCTGGTGGTTTTGAACTGCTAACCTTGTGGTTAGCAGCCCAACTCATTACCCACTATTCAGGGCTCACTCCTACATTGCTGTGATCATTGGTAAGCTCTAGCTACTGTATTTTGAGTGCCTTCCAAACTAGGTGGCTCCTTTTCCAAGACTACATTGGAAATGCATATATTTTTGACCCATAGGGCTTTCACTGGTTAACTTTTAGAAGTATATCACCGGGCATTTCTTTCTGGTATGCCTTAGACTGGAAGCTCTGCTGCGACATGTTCACCACAGGTAAACCTGCTGGTATTGAAATACCAGCGATGGAGTTTTACCTAGCAAATCACCTCAGTAAGTCAAACTGACGGATGAATGGTGGATAGTGGAGTTAACTTAAACATACAGTATATTATCCAAATAGAGATACTATTGAGATACGTTTAAAGAGTGCTAATAGTTACATCTAGAAAACAAACATTAATTGGAGCTGAACCAGGCATGGTCATATGTGGTTCCTAATCTTAGAAAGTGTTGTCTACTACTGCTAATCAGGACCTACTTCTTCTTGCTCCGTCTTGGGTGTGGAGTCTAAATTTGTCCTAACTATTTCAACATTTTCTTTCTAACTGAATGCTGCTATTCGTTCCATTAAAAAGGTATTAAGCACTTTGTTGTGTGATGGGAAAAATCACAAATATACTTAAGAAATATCTGTGTAGTGGCACCGTGTAATAAGATATTGAATAAAAGGGATTTTAATCTTCTCTTTGATTGGATTTCTAAATTTACTTATGCAAAATTTGATTTTTAAAAGTGTACAAAGTTCTAAAACCCCTCAAATGTTAGTTTCAATATGATCTTCATCCTAAAGGCAGTGGGAAGTGATTGGAGAGCTTTAAACAATGGAGCCAGCGATTGAGATGGGACTCCTCTGACTGCTGCAGCAGGGAAACAAGGAGGACTGTGTTGGGAAAGTTTACAAAAGTGCTATTTCCCTGAATTAAGAGGAATGATCAAGATTTTGTGTCTGTTAGTGCAGTTATGAATTATTTTTCTGTCCAAAGTAATTGAAACAACATACTTTCCCCCCCTGAATTCACTTTCACTCTCACACATAAATTATGCCATTTACTCCGAACGTCAAATCTGTATAAGTTAAAGCAAAATGTTCATTAAATCAAAAAACTTTTGAGTCACCTTTTACCAATTTTAAATTTTACATGCCTATGGAAATAGATCTAATATGTAAAAGTCTAAAACACTTCTAGATTTCATTAATATTAATAATAGAAAATACATAAATGTCTTGTTTATATTGCAATTTTTAATTAAAAAACACGAAAAATTCTATGTTATCATAGAAGCAATGTTTCATGCACTATATAATAATTCTGCAATTAGAAATGCAACTTGTATCATTTACTTTTTAAAGAATTATAAAGATAGAGTATTTGATTACCTTGTGTGTTTTCAGTGAAATTCTTTCTCATGATGCTTCAGTGCATAAATGGAATGCAAGCTCACCCTACGAATATGTTGATCTGGAACTCAATGCTTTTTGTACTCTTTTTTCATAGACATAAGTAGAAGGTATTCTTGGAATTATGTTAATTTATATGGATTTGCATTACTAGAAAAGTTCTTTCAATAAATATTTATTTATTTACTTAATAAAATTTTACTTTGTTTCACTAGATGATCTATGAGTGGTCTAGACAGCTAACGCAATGGATGACCTTAACAACTGAAAAATGGAACTGGTTATTTTTCCTTTTTATAACTTGTAGAAAATGGGACCATATTAAAAATACATATAAAACACAAAAGAATATTGTCCTAAATATGTTCAAATCATATTTTAAAGCTCGACTAGTCCTTCCCTACTGCAATGTACATTTGTATGTGCACTGCTAATATAAAAATAAAGTTTGTCTTCATGACTTATTTTTATGACAGGAGAGCCCTGGTATATGTCCACCCACCAGGTCCTAGAAATACAAAGATAGAAAGACACAGACATCAACCTCTGGGACCTTATGGATTAGCTGCCACTGTTATGTCTTTAGGTGGCATCAGGTCGACTCTGACTCACAGTGACCCTCTGCACAGTGGAAGGAAACACTGCCGGGTCCTGAGCCGTCCCCACAGCTGTTCCTCTGCCTGAGCCCATTGTTGCAGCCACTGTGCCAATCATCTCCTTGAGAGCCTTCCTCTTTTTTGCTGCCCTTCTCCTTTACCAAGAATGGTGTCCTTCTCCATTATAGGACACTTAGTTTTTGCCAAATAGCATTCTAAGTACTTTGCTTTTAATCCTCATGCCATCCTTATAGCATTGTTGCTATAAAGTTTCACTTTACAGATTGTGAAACGAAAGCACAGAAGCATTAGGTAACTTTCTCAAGCCCACACAGCTAGTAAACCACAGAGCCGGGATTCGAAGATGAGTAAGTCAATTCCAGAGACATTGCTTTTAATCACCACCATACTTCCTCATGGTGATTCTGAAGATCTGAATAAACCCAAGTAACAAACAATAACAACAATCAATAATGTGTGTTCATGATCACAAACTCACTACACAAGAGAAGAAGCTTGTATTATTATTATTATTATTATTATTTTCAAAGCTGTTAAAGAGGTTGAGTGAGAGTTAATAATTTCCTGGGATAATTAGATACTGGGATAGTTAATTATTATAACCCATCAAGTCCTAAATCTTTCAAAATAATGGATGTTTTCTGAATGTGTGTGTGTACATTTGTGAAGTGTATAGTACGAAATGAAAAGTAATCAGTATAAAGTCTTTGATGTTAAATAAAATAAGCAAGTTGGTCAATGTAAAGATGATGGAAACCCAGAATGAGGAGAAAGGGGCAATCTGCTAGTCACAGGTAAGTAAGTTCTCACTACAAAGAGGGGAGTCAATTAATTTCAGAGTTAGTGGCGGAGACTAATGAAGTGTTTGGAACTCATGAGTTCCCTCCTTACTATAGCTATGTGACAGCTAGGAGTGGGTTTTATTAATTTTTTTGTCTCTACCAAGCCTACAGAGAGGGCTGCATAAACTCTTAATAACTTTCTATTGGATGGCTGCTTTCTGAATGAACTGGTGGATGATGATAACTTATAAAATTAGAAAGCTCATCATTAGCAATTTTCTCCACATACAGATAGCTCTCAACCAAAGAACTTTCACCTCTAAGTAAATTTATTAAATTTCACTTAGGAACAGTATAAAATAAGTTTGGGTACATTATTCTGTGTTATAATAACTGACCTTAGAATCCCCACTTGTGATGTAGGAGAAGCGTGGAAGTATGGATGTGTGGAAGGTGTCACAGAACAGATACTTCTCCGAGGGTGGGTTGTGTGAGTCCATTGTGGTTGGGGACAGGACATTTGTGAAGTGGAAGGTTGTGTCTGACTTTATTCTTTTCCATTGTGGAGAATGCAAGGAAAAGGAATGAATTAATTCTCACTGAATTTGGGGACGTTTTTAAAGAACCCCCACTCAATTTTAAATGATGTGCTCTTGTTCCAGGATTAATAGACAATTCGGGACTGAAGTTATTTCATACAACTGATATAAGGAAATATGATGCTGGGGTGATCGAGGCTGGCCTCTGGGTAAGCCTTTTCCACACCATCCCTCCAGGGATGCCCGAGTTCCGGTCTGAGGGTCACTGCACACAGGAATGCTTAGAAGAGGTACGCAGCTTCTATGAGTTGTTATTTACTGGTACATTGATGTTCTCAGAAAAGGATGTTATAAAAAAACTTTATGCCTGATTTAGTCAGCATTTTGCAAAACTGTTAAAGTTTTAGCAGGACCTCCAATTCCCTTTTTCAAGATTCACTGCTGTAGTGACTGAGTGCCATCAAGTCACTCACTGGGACCTCACTGGATGGAGTCGAAGTGCTCCACAGGGGACGCTAGGCTAGAATCTTCATGACAACAGATGGCCAAGTCTTCTCTCTCAAGGAGCAGCAAGTGGACTTGAACCTCTCACCTTTTGGCTAGCAGCCCAGTGCTTAACCATTGCACCACAAAGGAGTGGAATTCTGAGAAGAGTAATTTCTCAATGTTTCCCTCTCTATTCTTGCTCCTTGATTTATTTCAGACAGGACACTTTTATTTTATCTTACAATTTCCACCTTTGTTGTATTGCCTCTTCTTTCTCTTATGCCACCTTTTGTTCATATTCATTTGTTTTCACTCACTTGAATATATTTTTCAATGTGTGCGTACTTCTTTACAGATTGTCTCTTCTTTAATAACGAGTAAGACTATTTAATCATAGAAACATAAATTGAAAAAAAGAACACCATATAGAAGTATTTAAAAATGCTGGCTTCTATTTACAGTCCCCCGCCCCCACCGAAAACATGTTTCTGGGGTTCCTGTTTAAGGACTTCATTATTCTGTAGTGGTGGACAAGATGGCAGACGGGTGAATTGGAAGGATGTTCTTCTAAGTGACTTAGACCACAGCTCAAACTGCCATCCCCTTCTTTAGGGGTAGAGGTGGCATTGTAGCTACTCCTTGGGCTGCTAACCACATGTCAGCAATTTGAAACCACCAGCCGCTCTGCAGGAGAGAGATGAAGCTTTCTATTCCGGTAAAGAGTTAGTTTTGGAAACCACAGGGGCAGTTCTGTCCTGCCCTGTAGGGCTGCTGTGAGTCAGAGTCATCTTGACGGCAGTGAGGTTTTTGTTTGTTTGTTTTATTACATTATTTGCTTGCCACGGGACCAGAGGCAATTGGCTTATTTCCACTGACCCTCAACTGTCTTCTCATCTAGAAAATTGGAAATAATTTGCCCCTTTAAGATTTGTAGTTTCTAGGTTAATAACATACTGGAATCATTTGCTCTACCCTTTCACCTTCTTAGAGAAGGAAAAAGAAAGATGTGGAAGAGATGGTCCTCGGGTTGAGTCTGTTCCCTTTCTTTTCACCTGACAAACATTACATCACAAAGTCCATGTTGTTTGAAATAAGTCATGAAAAGTTAGAATTAACAATGTGGTTGGGCAGCTCAAGCATTTAAGCATTTACTCAGATTTCCCCCAGGCCCCCAGGCCCCCTCTATTCTCTCCCCGCTCCCTGCCCAAGCACCTTCCAACACAGACTGTCTGAACATGCACTTGCTTTGGATAATCAGCCCTTCCTCTGGGTCCCCGCAGGCTCTGGAAGCTGAAAAGCCCACTGGAATCCATGTGTTTGCTGTTCTCCTCCACGCTCACCTGGCTGGCAGAGGAATCAGGTTGCGTCATTTGCGGAAAGGGGAGGAGATGAAATTACTTGCATATGATGATGATTTTGACTTCAATTTCCAAGAGTTTCAATATCTAAAGGAAGAGCGAACCATCTTACCAGTATGAATGTTTGTATTTTTTTCCCCATGAATGTTATAAAACTCATGAGACTTACATCTGCTGAGATTCAGTAAGGTTTCTTCTGGTGAAATGAATGGTTCATCATATCCGTATCCATAAAGCCACCCACAGAGGGTGTTGCACAACCCAGATGGAATGTATTTGATCTGTTTCCCAAAAGTAAAACGCATTTATCTTAAAGGTTCCCAAGGGAAGCCAACTTGTTGATTTTTATAACAGACTTAGATTCTGACTTTCTGGTAAGGAGTCCTTTGCGTGTCACTCATACTAATGGTAAAAATCAGAAGTTTTCTTATAACATCTTGAGTAGACAGGATACCTTTAGAAGTTTCATTTCAGTGAAATTTAATGAGGATTCTTTCATTTGAGAAAGGTATCCAGACTTAGGTGATTACAATGTTCTGTATAAGTCGCTATGAGTTGGGATTAACTCGATGGCAGTGTATTTGGGTTTAAGGGTTTGATGTAATCCAACAGTATTTAGGGGAGTGGTGGAAAGATAGAAGAGAATCTATGTTTTCTAATAATGAGAGTTGTTTTTGTTTATTTTATCAAGTCATCTGTTTCCTCAACAATTTCTATTGCATAATACTCCAAGTCCAGTCATCATACAATTGCCAACCTATATTCCGCTCCTAAATGTATGAAATTCTTACACTATTTATGGAATGAGAGTAATTAATATCAGCATCTTTCCTGCATGGTGCTGAGGACAGGGGTTTGTAAATGGGCTGAACAGTCAGGGAAAAGGCATAGCACCATATGCTATTAGGTGAGAAGGTGAAATACAAACAAACAAACCAACAAAAAGGTGAGGAAGAGGATAGGGGTTCTCTTTGTGTTTTGCCCAGTGGTTGTTCCGTTAACTCACTGCTAAGTCAACATTCCGTTCAGAAATACCTTGACACATTCTAAGAGTGGAAAGATGATCCTTCAAAATTCTACTGCCTATGCTTTTCTTTTATTGCCGTGTTCTGGGTCCTTCCACCCACTTTATCCTGTTAACTCAGAGCCTTCGTAGGGGAAGCCACAAGGAGGGTGTGTGTGTTAAGGTATTGATCTTGGAGTCCACTGAGAGTCAGATGGGAGCACCTGCACAGGGAAGCCCATGTTTTGCTGGCTCACTGTATTAGTCTGGGTTATTTAGATAAATAAATCCACAGCAACTCATGTATAAGCGAGAGTTTTATGTAAAGATTAAGTGTGCATCAAGAAAACATCCCAACCCAATGCTGCCAAGCTCACAAGTCCAACATTAACCCATATGTCCAACAGCAATCCACAAAGTCCTCTTCCATCTAATAAAACAGAGGCAATGATGC